TATATGGTTATGGTAAAGTTTAACCGTGTCGCCAAATGCACGTAATTTACCTTACATAATCATATTTGCCAGGAAAAACATAATTATTGCAGCTAAACTTTAAGGTAATAACTAATATTTGCTTAGTATAAGATGTTATGAATACTGTATTGTTAATTGGGAAAAGTAGCATAGTCTTCTTATCTATGCAAAATATGGTCCTAAACTTAGAGTGAAACATACGTTACCTGATTTCTTCATACACCAGTTCAAGAATTTGTACCAAAGAAGTAGTTAACTAATAAGAATGGATACAGCTTCAATAAATCATCATTGGTGTTAATCATGTTTAATTAGTACCGTACTCGCGCGAATAAGCGCCCCATTTGAATATCATAAGATTTTCTTTTTAGCAAGTCAATAATCCAATCAATCCTTGGACTTTGGTTGTTGGCATGATTTCTCTCTCATCTGAGTTTTAAAGAAAAATTACAATGATCCTGCCATCCTGCTAATCTCAATCGGCCGATGTCCAACAAGCTAACCACTACCCACCACCAATAGGCCTAATTGCATCTGCTATTTTGCTGTTATGAAAGTTTTCACGCATTCTTGTCATGAGGCATGTTCTCTGGACGGTTATCTTTTCCGCGCCTAACCACCAAATGTCCTTATATAATCTTTTTTCATTCAAAAATTGCCTCTTGAATTTAATAATTTCATAAGAACCCCTCGATTTTCATCTATTTCCATAAGCGACCCCCCAATTTCCACTCTGTTTTCATAAGCGCCCCGTTTAAATAAGCGCCCCGTTTGAATAAGCGCCCCTCAGAAAGCGCAAAATTTATTTTAAGCGCCCGGGCGCTTATTCGCACGAGTACGGTAATTGTAATTAGAAAAGTAGTGTACGTTACAGTAACCTACGTTACGTTATAGAATATTAATCAATATTAATGAAATACCGTATATGGCATAAAACTATTATAAATGACTTTATTTACACCGCCAAAGACACATGAAAGTTTTAGAACCTTCTAAGAAAAAATGGCATTGAGCAATTGACACCTAGAAACTCGTGTTTACCAACTTTGTGTTTCCCTCGAATGTTGGTCATCCGCTCATCATTAAAGTGAAGCAATTTGGTAAGTATTTGTTATAGGTTTTGTCTCTGTCTCTTATACACATCTAGATGTGTATAAGAGACAGAAATTGTTCTTGACATATTAAAGTTTCGTTCTAAAGAAAACCCTGTTAACTGAACTTTATTTTTCTTGATTTTTAAAGTCCAATTGCACGTTTATAGTGAGACAAAGATCCTTAATCGTGATATTTAACACCTACATTTTTCACTGGCCAATAAAATTTCATTTTTCGTAGGATAGCCAGGTAAAATCTAATGAATTATTCATAATCATCCTTAGAATATATGCATGCGCTATTTTCAAGTCTGTGTCTAGGTCTGTATTTCTCGGTGGGACCTA